GATTATGATGATGCTTATGATGATGATGACGATGATGATGATGATGATGATCATGATGATGATGATGATGATGATGATGATGATGATGATGCGGAGGATGATGATGATGCTGATGATGATGCTGATGATGATGCTGATGATGATGATGATGTTGATGATGACGATGATGATGATGCTGCTGATGAAGATGATGATTATGATGCTGATGATGACGATGATGATTCTGGTACTGATGTTGATGATGATTCTGATTATGATGCAGAAGCTGATGATGATGCTGATGCTGATGCTGCTGCTGCTGATGATGCTGACGATGATGCTGATGCTAATGCTGCTGATGATGCTGATGATGATGATTGTAATGATGATGATGCCGAGGATGCTGATGCTGCTGATGATAATGATGATGCCGATGTTGATGATGATGATGCTGAAGATGATGATGTTTTGACGGTGATGATGATGCTTCTGACGATGATGGTGATTATGATGATTATGCTGCTGCTGATGATAATGACGATGCTGATGCTGCTGCTGATGATGCTGGTGATGTTGAGGATGATGCTGCTGATGTTGATGACGACGATGATGATGATGATGATGATGATGATGATGATGATGATGATGATGATGATGATGATGATGATTATGACGACGATGGTGATGGTGGTGCTGCTGCTGATGATGATGATGCTGATGTTGATGATGATGCTGATGACGATGATGATGCTCATGCTGTTGCTGCTGCTGATGATGGTGGTGGTGCTGATGAGGATGATGATGATGATGCTGATGATGATGATGACGATGATTGTTATGGTGGTGGTGGCGGTGGTGGTGATGATGATGACGATGACGATGATGATGCTGCTGCTGATGATGACGATGATGATGATGGTGATGATGATGATGATGATGATGATGATGATGAAGATGCTGCTGCTGCTGATGATGATGATGATGATGATGAGGATGAGGATGAGGATGAGGATGAGTATGATGATGATGATGATGATGATGATGATGATGATGATGATGGCGATGATGAGGATGATGATGATGATGATGATGATGATGATGATGATGATGATGATGATGATGATGATGAGGATGTTGATGATGATGATGATGATGCTGATGATGATGATGATGATGATGATGATGATGATGATGATGATGATGATGATGATGATGATGACGATGACGACGATGACGACGACGACGAGGAGGAGGAGGAGGAGGAGGAGGAGGAGGGCTCTGTAGCCTTTTCGGCTCAAGTCCGTAGCGTTTCGTTCAGAACGCGGCATTCTGCCCAGGGGGATTCCACGCCCCCTACCGCTTTCCAGGCGTTCTCCCGCCCGGCTCATACTTCCAGCTACGTTCCGTATATTGCGCCGCCCTTTCACGGAAGCTACCTCCCAGCTCGCGCAAATGTTCTTTCTTTTGATTGGTTCTCCAATGCGCCATGGCTCAAGTCTGACTTGGGGTCCCAAGATGCGGCAGGAGAGTCAAAGCTCAAGGGCTGGGGCCGTGGAGGGAAAGCACAGGCCACAGCGATGTCCTGCCCGTCATGCGGTTGCAAGAAGAACAGTGCCTCAGCCAGTTGGTGCAAGCATTGCTCTACTACCTTGCCTCGCTCCGAGCCGTCTGCTAGTCACTTCGTCAGCGTTGTGGGCGCAGCCTGGTCCTCCAGGACTGCGGTGCTGGCTTTCTCCCCTCCCTGGGCAGGGCAAAGTCGCAGGAGGGAATTCTCGTGGACCCCGCAAGGGGAAGCGCAATGGCTACTACGACGGCGATCCGACTCAGTCGGATCAGCTGGCGGCCCTGGCCGAGTCGAGTGGAGGGCGTCCTGGCGGTGACAAGTCTACGGGTGTTGGGCCCCCGCCGTTTCCAGTAGGCCCTGTTCTTCGGATTACCGCCTCAGGGGTGCGCCAAGTAGCAGAGTTGTCTAGCAAGGTGGGGGATGTGTTGGCAGTAAAGCGTTATGAGAGTATGGGATTGACCTTCAAGCCGAGGCCCGTCCAGCACCAGCACCATCCGTACACGCTCAGATGCAGAAGGCCCACGATGATGTTCAGCAGTGGGAGCACAAGGCCGAGATGGACTTGCAGCGCCTCGCTCGGGCCAAGGAGCAGGCTCTGGAGTTCGAGAAGGCGCTGCGCGAGTCCTGGGATCACTTGCATGCGGCGGATGATGTCTTCAAGTTTCCCATCGCCAAGCTCAAGAGTGATCAGGAGGCGGAGTCCAAACCTGCACCTCTTCCTGCCAGCAAGCTGGGCGACCTGTTGGCGGGCAAAGTTGACATGGCTTCTGTCATCGGCTGCGACGACCTTCTTGAGGATCTGGTGTCGGCCGAGGTGGAGCTTGAGGGGTGAGGGGTAGGGCGAGATTGGATTTCAGAAGCGTCGAGATGAACTGGTGTCTGGCGCCCAGGAGCTTACTCATAAGCTCTTCCAGCAGGTCCCGGACTCTGCTCAAGCCGCGCGCGTTGCTCACGAGGCTCATCGCTCTCGGGTTGCTGCCAAGAAGCGCAAGACCACCCACTGCGTCGCGGCAGGAGGTGGCGACGGTGCTGTGTCAGCTGCAGCAGCAGGTGCAGCAAGTGCGGGTGCTGCAGCAGCGCCAGCTGAGGCCGCCCATGCCTGCGGCGTGGCTGCCTCTTCTCAGTCTCATGCGCTCGCGTCCCAGGAATGCAGTCGTACGGGGGCTGATGGGGCGCTGCGGGCTTCAGGTTGCAGTTCGAGGCCCAGGCTCCAGTGACTCCTGGGATCTCTGGGTTTTTCGGCGTCGCGTTTTTAGGTGGCTGGTTCCGGGGTCCAGGCTACCAGGGTCAGATTTTCTAGGCGCACTCGGGCCCAGTCTGGAGCTTTGCTGAAGAATTTTAGTTTTTGTGCCCCACTTTGTCCAGATGGAGTTCGATTGCCCCCCAGGGTCCATTAGTTCCTGGTTCCTCTCTCCTCTGCCGCGGCCTGGCGCATCTCGGCGGCGCTGCGAGCTTGTCGCGCGGCTGCCGTCAATCAGATGCGCGATCCTTTTTGTTTGCCAGCTTGGGTCCAGCAAGCGGTCAGAAAGATGATGTGCCCCTTCTTGAAGTGTGGGCGTCGCGACGGTCAGCGCGAATTCCCAGGCCACTTGAAAAGCGTTCCCGGAGTCGTGCGACGACCGCGTCGCGTCGGGACAAGAGCGCCGCATTCGCGACGGAATCTCTTTGGACCAGGCGTCGAAGTCTTCGCTTTTCCTAGGTCGGAAGAGTATCTGGGCTCCAAGAATATTTGGAAGGGGGATGCATTCACAGTGCAGTTGCGTTCTTGCTCGCAGTGGCCCCGGCTTGTTCGCTTGAGCCCAGCGCATTTTATTGGGCGGTGGGGCCGTCGCGGCCATGGTGCGCGCCCCAGGTTGCACGCCGTGTTGCGTTTGCTTCTTCTACTTCTACCACAGTCAAGGTCTCTCTGGATCTAATTTTGAAATCCTCCGTGTTGTTGCCCAGCATCTGGAGGGTGTCGCTTGCGATTTCGGTGTGCGGCCTTGGCGGCGATCGCGGAGCCGCCGTCGTCAGCCCATCGGGGCATGCCGATTTCCCGAGTGCGGGGGCGCCTGATCGCGTTCACTAGTTTGTTGTTTCCGAAGTCTCAGGGGCTTGTCTGGAAGAAGTGTCGGTGGTCTCCGACTCCCCAGTAGCTCTTCGCCAGCCTGTGTTCATGCGTTTCTGTAGTTCGCTCGGAGATCTGAAGGCTTTCGCCTTCCGCCGCCCTCCCTGATCTGTCGAGGTGCCTGTGGGGCCTGCCTCGTGTCCTGGGTCGCGAGGCGACGCCCTGGCTCCTGCTCGGGAGGCGTGCGCTGCTGTGGGTGCTGGGGGCTCTGGGCGTGCTCGGAGGCCCTTGAATCCTGGGTGCAAAGCTCGGGCCGACGCGGCCGAACGGGACTTGGTCAGCATTCTTGGGGCGGGATGCGGGGGAAAGGCGCCGGATGCGTTGGAAGTCTGTGATCGAGCCTGCAGGTGGGGTCAGGGATCCTCGATTGCGTAGTATTCTCTAGCTGCAGCATCAGCTTCGCGCGATGAGGTGTCATCTTGGCGATGTCCTTCAGGCTGGTGGTCACCGGATGGTGGGGCGGCTTGCCTCCCCCACAGTCTCTGCGATGCTGACCAACGACTCGGACGGGGCGCATTTTTTTGAGCTGCCGCTTGCTAAGCTGCTGCCATTTGCGCCGATCCTAGCGACCCTGTCACACTTGAGGATCTGCACTGCCTCTTCGCGGAGGTGCCGGCCTCTGCCGCTTCAGCCGCGGCGGGGTCGGCGCGGGCGACGAAGAAATCGCGGCATGCATTGGTCAGAGGGGGCTTGAACCGTGTGCGGGGTGGGGGGGGGCATTCGCAGACGGCAATCGGAGAGCCCGTGGGCTGGGCCCCGACGACCATTCCAGGCAGTCCTGGGCCCTCGATTCGGATCCGATCTCGGTCTGGGGGATGTCGCTGCGCAGGCTGGGCTGGCTCATGCCCAATTTCAGCGTTGTCGCGGGCGATTTCGGCAGCGAGCTCTTTTGCCCCTCTCGAGTCCGAAGCTTGTCGAGGTTTTTCCCCGTCCTTCGGGGTGCGGGGCGTGGTTCTGGGGGCAGTTATGGCGCTGGAGTCGTGTCAGCTGGGATGTGGCCGGCGATGTTTTGGGGCGCGGGGAAGTTGGGGGCCAGGCCGAGGGCGGAATCCGTGCTTTAGCCGCGAGGGCCTGATGGGCAGCAGGTGATGTCTCTTTCGCAGGTTGCCTCGTCTGGGACCGCTGCGGCTTGCGCGGAGAGGCGAAGGTTGCCTTCTTTCGCCGATGAGCGCCCCTGCAAGCAAGCTGAGCGCGGCGCTGTGCCCCCGTCTTGGATGCAGGAAGACGCTCGTGAGCTGGGCCCGCGCAGCCCCGAGATGGTCCCTTACTTCCTTGGTGCCTTTCCTTGTCCGAGGGGCTCAGCCCTGGTGCTTGGGGGAGTCTTTTCATGGGCGGCTCGTGCCGTCGATATCCTGTTAGGGAATTGTCTCGAGCTGGTTGGGCCGTTGTGATGGTTCTGTCTTCGGGGAGGCTCCTTGGGATTGTCAGGGCCCCCCCGTGGGTTTCGTGACCTCTGGCCCCGCGGGGCTTTGAGTTTGAGGCTCTCGCGTGGGCGGGCTTGTGCGCCGAGGGCCCGTGTGACTCCTGCACTTAATGGATGCTGGGGGGGGGGGGGGGGGGCTGATCAGATATCGGCCAAGAGACAGTAAGTTGGCCGAGTGATCCAGACCCGCCACCACTTCATGCAGCATGTCTCTCCAAAATTGACGCCCGCCGTGATGCCGACGAGCAAGGTCACGGGGCGTGCGAGATATTTCTGCGCATTGGGTACTACTGCGCCGACGTCGTAGCTAAAGAGGCTGCTAGCGCCCACCCTGTCTGGTCTCCTACTGGAGAAAACGATCTTCAGAGGAATTTTTAGATTGCCCGTCATGTCCTCCTTTCTGGAGCAGAGCTCCTGCCACTTGGGCCGAAGTTGAAATTTCGAGGTGCGGGGCGTGTCCCAACGCCGCCGACCTCGGATACACCTTCTTTAAATATGTCAGGGCTTGGGCTGGCAAGGCCCCCCCCCCCGGCGTCGTCGGGTCTGTCTCCGTGGGTCGCGGGCGAAGTCCAGGCCGATTGGGGGCGCCTGTCCTGGGCAGAGCTGCCTCGACCAGGGAAGTATGGAGTCCTTGTGTCACCGAGTCATTGCTTTCCCGTGCGCTGACAGCAGTACTTTGTTCTGCATGACGCGCGAGTTTTTTAGCAGTGGAGGTCAAGTGAAGGGCCTAGGGAGTAACTGCCCCCCTTCCGACGGTGACGGGCAAGACGGACGAAAAAGGCCAGCACCCTGATGAGGAAATTGTCGCAGTTGATATTGATGAGTCCATTTCTCTGCTATAATTACCAGGTGCTGAATTCCTCGCGCTTCGTGAGTCCCCACCAGCCTTGCCCGGGCATTTTTTCCGTCGCGGCTGTCAGCTGCTCCCTACCAGAGACGGCGCAGCGCAGGCGGAGTGGCCCCTCTCCTGCCTGCAACTGCCGCTTCCATCCGAACGAGGCACCGGGTTGGCCGTGCGCGATGCCAGCGCAGCAGTTGTCTGGCGTACCCTTTTCAATATTTTAGAATTGTAGTGCAACTTACCGGTGCGTTTCCCAGCTTGCCGCGGCTATCAGCTGTGCCCTACCAGCGAATCGGTTCCGCAGGTGGAGTGACCCTCGTGCACTCCGCGGCCGACGGTGGGATTGCAAAGGGCCCGTGCGGTGGCTGGACCTTCTTATGCCCACGCTGAGGTGTCTTAGGCGGAACCTACTCGTCTTTCTGCAGCTGTCAGCTGCACGCTAGCACAACAACCCCCAAATTGCTGCGGCTGTCAGCTGAACCTTACCAGCGGCCCGGCACTACAGATGGAGTGACCCCCCCCATCCTGCGGCGAACGTTTTTACTCGTACTGGGCAGCGGGGTAACCCAGACGGCCCAATGCCAGCGCAGCAATTTGTCTTAGGCGGGCCTTTCCACGCTCCTTCTGCGGCTGTCAGCTGCGCCCTACCGGAGCAATTCCCATCTTCGGGCGGCTGTCAGCTGCACCCTACCAGCGAACCAGCGCTACAGGTGGAGTGGCCCCCTCCATGCTGCAGCTGACGTTCGGACTCGGGCTGGGCAGCGTTGCGACCCCGGTAGCCCAAGGCCAGCGCATCAATATGTCTCAGGCGGTACCCGTACTCCATCTCCCCGCAGCTGTCAGCTGCGCACTACCTGATCAAGTCCCACCCTTCTGCGGCTGTCAGCGACGCCCTACTTGCGGACCGGCGCCACAGGTGGAGTGGCCCCCTCCCTCCTGCGGATCGGTTGAATTTCAATGGACCGATGCGGTGGCTGTGCCCTGTGCCAGCGCAGCGATGTCTTAGGCGGAACCTTCACATCTCTATGCGGCTGTCGGCTGCGCCCTACCAGAACTACCCCGCCTTGCTGCGGCTGTCAACTGCACGCAACCAGCGAACCGGCGCTGCAGGTGGAGTAACCCCCCTCCATCCTGCGGCTGACGCTCGGCCTTTCTGGGCAG